TTGGGGTGGTGAATTCAGATCCTTTACACAATTCTTAAATGAAAAAGGCATTACTCATAGGGTTATTTGTCCTCACACACACCATCAAAATGGTGTTGTGGAAAGAAAGCATCGCACAATTGTTGAAAAGGGTTATGTCTTCTTTCTCATTCCTTTTTACCCTTAAAGTTCTGGGACACTGCTTTTGCTACTGCTGTTCATCTAACAAACAGAACCCCATCCAAATCCATTTCTAATCTTAGCCCCTTTTTTAAACTGTATGGGTCTATTCCTGATTATTCCTTTCTAAAGGTGTTTGGTTGTGCTTGTTATCCTTTCCTTCGTCCTTACAATAAACATAAATTGGATTACCACTCAAAAGAGTGTGTGTTTCTGGGCTACTCCTCTCACCACAAAGGCTACAAGTGTCTATCTCCTTGTGGAAAAATCTACATCTCTAGAGATGTAGTTTTTGATGAGACAAAATTTCCTTATCCTAAACTCTTTCCACCATAACAAATCAAGCCTCTATAGTCCCAGTTCAATCATCTGCACCCATCACCATTGTTCACTCTTCTTCAAATACCAATTCTCCCAATGGTATTACTTCATCCACCACATCTTCCAATCCTTCTACTAACATACCATCCATCTCTTCTTCTGATCATCAAATTTCTAACCACTCTGAGTACTCATCTCCGGTTAACTCTCATACTGCTCATCAACATTCTGACCACCCTGAGTTCTCATCTCCAGTCAACTCCCAAAATAATATCAGTAATTCCCATTCCTCATCTCATCCCTCTGCACCATCATCCTCTTCCCAATCTTCCATTCCTGTAATCAATAGTCATCCAATGCAAACTAGGTCCAAATCTGGGATTGTCAAACCTAGACTTAACCCAACCTTACTATTAGCTCATGTTGAGCCCAAATCAGTTAAGTAGGCTCTATCCTCTCCACCTTGGCTTGCAGCAATGTAAGCTGAATATGATGCTCTAATGGCTAACCACATTTGGTCTTTAGTATCTCTTCCTCCAGGAAAACAAGCTATAGGCTGCAAATGGGTGTTCAGAATTAAAGAAAATTCAGATGGTTCTGTGAATAAGTTCAAAGCAAGGCTGGTTGCCAAGGGTTTTCATCAGAGATATGGCTTTGATTTTGGAGAGACATTCTCTCCCGTAGTCAAACCAGTCACTATCAGAATCCTTTTGAGATTGGCAGTCTCATCAGTGGTCTATTCAGCAAATTGATGTTAACAATGCCTTCCTCAATAAGGATCTTGAGGAAGAAGTATACATGCAACAACCCCCAGGTTTCCAAAACAAAGACAATTCCCTAGTTTGCAGATTACACAAGTCACTGTATGGTTTAAAACAAGCTCCAAGAGCTTGGTTCCACAAACTCACTTCTGTCCTATATCAAGTTGGGTTCAAGCAAAGTAAATGTGATCCTTCCCTACTTATTCTTTTAACTTCTGAGATTCAGATCTATTTTCTCATCTATGTAGATGACATTCTAGTTATTGGAAACAATTCCACAGTCATTCAGCAAATCATTCAGAAACTTCATTCTTCATTTTCTCTCAAAAATCTTGGGGATATTGATTACTTCTTGGGCATTGAAGTTAGAAGACTTCCTGGTGGTTGTTTACATTTATCTCAAGCCAAGTATATTAGAGACCTTTTACACAAAGTTGGAATGACAGACTCCAAGGGAGTAAAAACACCTATGGTAAGCAACTGTAAACTTACCACTGAAGGGAGTGATTATCTTACTGATCCATCCTATTATAGATCTGTTGTGGGTATCCTTCAATATGCTACTTTAACCAGGCCTGAACTGAGCTACTCTGTTAACAAAGTCTGCCAGTTTATGGCTTCACCTCAGCAAGAACATTGGAAAGCTGTAAAACATATTTTGAGATATCTGTTTGGTACCATTACTTATGGTTTAGTCATAAAACCTCTACCTCTATCCACCTCACCTCTACCAGTTCTAGCCTTTTGTGATGCTGACTGGGCAACAGATCCCACAGACAGAAAAAAATCCACATCTGGATCTTGCATTTTTCTAGGCCCCAACATCATCTCTTGGTGGTCTAGAAAACAACTGAGGGTTGCCAGGTCCTCAGCTGAAGCAGAATACAAAAGCCTTGCTGACACTGCATCTGAGGTTTTATGGGTTCAATACCTACTCAGAGAACTTAAAGCTCCATCTGTCACTCTCAGAATCTACTGTGACAATCTAAGCACAGTACAACTTGCCCACAATCCTGTTCCACACTCTCGCATCAAACACTTGGAAATTGATCTCTTTTTTGTTACAGAGAAAGTCAGACTCAAGCAGCTTGAAGTCTTCCACATTCCAGCTCCTCAACAAGTTGCAGATGTGCTGACCAAGCCTCTATCTGCTTCTACCTTCCTTGAGTTCAGAAACAAACTCAGTGTGATTGACTTTCCAAAGCAATCACCCTAAGTTTGAGGGGGGAATAGTATATAGACTACATTTCTTTGTATTGTTAAAGTAGTTACAAGTTGTAGTTACAAGGGGTTAGGCTTCTTTGTACTGTACTCTCGGTTGTTTAGTCTGTTAAGGCTATCGACTATAAATACTCTATAACTACTCTTCCAGAATAAGATGATTTCATTTTTCCCTTCTATCACTTTGCTTGAACTCTAATGGTCCATTTGAAGTGGTTGAAGTGATTAATCCGGTGGCCTATAAATTGAAGTTGCTGGAAGGTTGTGCGGTACATCTGGTGTTTCATATATCACTTTTGAAAAAGAAAGTTAACCCAAATATACTTTGCCAACCACTGCCTTCTTGCATCTCAGAAGAATGGGAGTTACAATCCAAGATAGAAGAAGTAATCGATTCCAGAGTTTCAGCAACGGGAACTCGAGAGGTGCTGGTTCACTGGAAAAACCTACCACAGTTTGAAGATCCCTAGGAAGATTGGGAGTTGCTGAAGCAAAAATTTCCTGAGCTACACATTGAAGACAATGTGTTTTCAAAGGGAGGGGGTGATGATACGAGCACTACCATATTTAGCATAAATGCCAATAGGGATTTTTCAAAAGTTTTAAAAGGAGGGGCAAGAAGGTAAATGATATGAAGCGGGAAGAGCATGGGGCGGGACCGGGCTTGGGCCCACTTTTATGGGCCAGTTACGGGTTGTCTTTATAATTATTTATTATTATTTTAAGTTAATGTTATGTTTTGGTTTGGGCCTTTTATTTGATCCGGCAGGTCGGACCAAATTGATAAGAACGGAAAATAACAATCAACGGTAGCAACCGTTGCCAAAGCTTAAATCTTAAACACACCAATTTATTAATAATAAAGCATAGTTTGAATAACCCTCTTAGGGGGTATAAATAGACTAATTCTCCAAACTAATGTAAGACTCCTAAAACTCAAACTAGGAAATAAACTTAAACTAGGAAACATAACTCATACTAGGAAACCTATTAAAAGCCAATAATGAATAAAATAAGTAGCTAATTAAATCCTTAATTAAATCAGCCCGTCGGCCCTCTGCTGCTGAAACAGTTATGATTTTGAAGATTCAACTGCTGAAGCTGAAGGTCCAGAAAGCAAGGAAGGATGTACTGGGAAGAAAGAGGCGCCAAGATAAAACTGAATGGCATGGCTGTTTCTTACTCCCCACCTTGAGGACAAGGTGGTTGTCAAAGGGGAGTGATGATACGAACCTGAGCTTATGGCAAGAGAACTAATAGAAATAATACTGAATTTTTTAATAAGCTGTAATAAGGAAGAGGGAGAGGCAGGATTGGATTTGGGAAAAATTGAGATATGGGAGATATAGGGGCCCTCTCGAATTTCCCTCCATTGTATTCCTCTTGTTTTCATCTCCAATTTTCTGTGTTTCTACCAGGTCTCCCCATCTGTGGGTGTTGATTTTTGAACCTTCATCAAACCACTCCTAGCCTCCCAGATCTTGTGGTTTCAGATGAGGCGAAGCCATAACTAATGAGTGTGGTGGTCAAATGGGTTAAGGGAGAGCTGGGAATGGAAGAGAGAGGAAATTGGTATTTTAGCACATGCCACATCAATAAGTAAGATAACCGGATGTTTTTTAGACAACCGGCTAAAAAGAGAAATTGCTTGTGTTTTCAGAGTGGCTAATTGGGTGTTTCTTTTGTACGAGGTGTTAATTGATTTTTTTGAAATATTTGAGTGGCCTATTTGATAGTTTTACCGACAACAAATGTAGTGGATCAATAGTACCTGAAAAGGTATAAACTTAAAGTAACACAAGCAATTGTATTCCAGATACCAGGGGGTCTCTCAGAAAAAAAATGTTCTCTGAAACAGCCCCACAACTTACACCTAAATGTTCTCACTTTTTAAATATTTAAAATTACTCAATAATCAACTCTCAGAAAACTTTCAATTGTAATCTAGTGTAGACATACACAATCAATATGATCTCTGATCTGAAGAGTGACAAGGTTGTTGCACTGGTGGTGGTGTGTGAAAAAGGAAAAAGATGATGCCCATAAATATTTGTTTTCCTTTATCGTGCATGCAGATTTTGTTTATTTATCTTCCAAGTGTTGTTGTTAGTTTATCTTTCAGATTTTGAGTTACTGAAACTATAGAGAACCTGACTAAGTTATTCAATATCAGCTGTCTAAAATTAAAATGTGGTTGCATCACTGCAGTAACTATCATCAATGCAAAACCTGAAGGAGACGTTAAAAAACTACTCCCCGTGTCCCCATTTAATCTTCGTACTTTCCATTTCGAGATGTCCCCAATGAATATTCATGTTTTCCTTCAAAGAAACTGGGCGGTTCATATTCTTTCTATTCCCTTCTAAATAAATTCCAATCGTACAACTTTAATTTTCTTAAACTGCACGCAAATCCAAACAAAGAACAATCAACAGTCATTATTTTTCGGTCTTTCCCAGATACATTCCCAGGCAGTTAGTTCTCTAGGTTCATAATAATGATCCCATAAAACGTTTAAACAAGAACTAATGTAAATACCTGCACCAATCCCATGGAATTACTTTTGTTGTACAAACTGGATCGTCCAACGCTCAGAGAAGAGGAACTGGTACATTTCCAACATACTCCCTCCGTCCCATTTTAGTTAGCCAAACTTGACTTTTCAAGTCAATGGCGTCTAACTTTGACTATTATATGTTTATATAGATAAAGTATTGATAATATGAAAATGTTCTTTCTTAAAAATACTATCATAAAAGTATAAAACTTTTAAATTTTGCATAAATATATTAGTTAAAATAATTGGTCAAAGTTTACCCTCTTTGACTGGAAAGGTCAAAGATGGCAAAGTGAATTGGGACAGAGGTAGTAACAAACACTGCTGCATTGCCCGTAATACGTGTCTACAGTCTGTGGCAAGTCAAAGTAACAAATAATCAGGCCTCAGTAACAGTTAGTGAATGTGATGCTCTGAAAAAGCAATTCAGAAACAATTAAAAATTGGTACCTCATAGTTCCACGAGACGAGTGGCATAATTATTAAAGTCTCTAACACTACTTGACTGAAAGAAAAGCACAAAAATACTTCAGCAGAGATAGCTATCTTAATAGGTAATGGAAACCATTCAATTGTACAAGCAAATGATGAGTTCTACAATGGTCCCGATGTGTAGAACAAAGAGAAAACATAACTATAAGAATTAGTGAAGTGTTGTTCTTTTAGTTCATTCTTGCATAGTGAGAAATGGCATCCTGCTAAGTTAAAGACTTTCTAATACACCTGAGTAATAAGGGTCATTTTCATCATTTCATTTACCCCAGTGCCGCAAAGGCTCCCACCTACGGTGGGATAAGGGGGGTCGGATATACGCAGTCTTACCCTTGTACTAAAGCGCAAAGAGACTTTCCGGATGACCCATAGTGAAAATCGCATCCAAAATTGCATGGACTGACTGTTGCTTCATAACAAAGAAGCGTAGACAGTTTAGTGAGTCACTTTGCTTTATTCCATCATATTCTCAAGCCAAAAAATAATGAATCTTTGACTCCATTGCAAACAATGGAAAACCTGAATAATAAGGGTAGGAGAAATAAATCATGATATAGATTTGATTTTAAGTTCTGTTTAGTTGACAATGATTTAAATCATGATATATCATAAAAATATCACCGAAGAGTGATTTAGAGTACAAGGTAAAATATTTTGAAGGAGTTCAATTTAAAATCAGACCATACAGGAATATAACCCTCAAAGACTAATTCAAAACATATATCTACACCTTTATTGTTAGATAGAATGTTGAACAGCTTCACTAAAAACGCAGCTATTGAAAGTATATAAACCAGCCCCCAGAATTTTAACAAAACCAGCCGCCAGAATTTTAACAAACCCAGCTGCCTGAATTTTAACAGAACAGCCGCCAGAATTTTAACAGAACAGCCGTAGTATCCTGCTTTCCAAAGCTCAAATTCAATAGCAGGGATTCTAATACCTCAAATTCGTGAAGATATACAGGTTTGAATTGACATGGAGCAAAGGGGATAGGTTAAAACTCTATCATGGAATAAAGTCCCACTGACCGAGACCTGCTCCTAGGATTAACTCCTGAAGTACCAAAATTGAAAAGATAAACTTAAACCCCAAAGAGATTGCACACTTAACAATTTTGAGGAAATGATTCAAGGCACCTTTAGAAGAAAAGAAGACTGATGGAGAGACTGAACAACAACGCAAGACTCAGCGTTTCTCTCAAGCCCTTCCGTAAAAGTGTATATCTTCGATGCTATGACCGAGACCTCTCTAGGGCTTTCGTTTTAGATAATGTTTCCATTAAATTTTAATCGGGCTAAGATAAGCAATTGGGTCATCGATCATCTTTAAGAATAATTTTCTGCCCGCTTGGAGAAATATACCCCCTTTAACTGATAAATTAATTAACTTTAGAACAATTTTACATATTTATTTGAATTTATTGGACTATAAGCTGAATAAGTTTAGATGAAATGTGCTATGAATACAGAGAAATGCTCTGACCAATACAATGTAACAACGGCGGTGGCAGAGAAATACAAATGAGCATAACCTTTTAAGCCAATTGTTAGAGCTTTATCATGGTATTCCTGGATATGTCAGCGGTCAATAATTCTGTTGCATACCGGGAAGAATAAGTTAAAATAGGAAGTTCAACAACGCTGATTGGAAATCGAAACCAAAACAGTCAATAGAACTCAAACACAACCGCACTAGCAACATGAGGGGCTTGAGAATAAACAATCAGCTTTGGAGTAAATAAATTAAAGACCAGGCTTGGTGCTACTGAGAACAAGGGTTTTACTTTTTTCCTGGAAAGTGGCTAACTGGCTATATATAGTTAAGAAAGGAAAAACTATGATGATGATGATGATGATATTGAGGAAGAAAGGATGGCTGTTTCCATGTGTGTTATACATATTAGAGTTACACTAAAGGTCAAGAAAGGCAGACTAGAGGTGAAAGAAGACAGATTAGGTGAGCCAAAAGCAGGATGATGTTTAACGTACTGGTCAGATTTTCTAGAGTTAGAAAGACCAAAATGGACACTTGGGTCATTTAGAGAGCTCAAAGTGGAAACTAACCTCTTAAATAGACCAAATAAATCCATCATAATTCACCTTTAAGGATCATTTTTGGACACTGACTAACTGAATGGGTTTAAACGTGTTGCCCCGTTAGTTTTCTGAAAACAAACGAGGAAACAAGACAGGAGGAACTGGAAGAACCCTATTGTTGCCCCGTCCAAGAACCCTATTTTTGCCCGCACCCTTTCGCTCAAAATTCAAACTGCATAAACTGGAAGAAGTGCTTCGGGTAAAGGAGTACCAATTTCAGCAACCTCAATTCGTTCTCAATCCGGCCGTCAGCTCCAAGAAGTTGAAGCATGACAATTGTTTGATTGTTGTATTGTCTTGTATTTTCATTAACAGTGGTAAACATATTAACTGCTCTGGTGAACTTCTACCAGTTATATATCTTTAATATAACTATTAGTTGGTATGTTGGTTTGTTAAACTCACTGGACTGCAAATAGGATTAGCTATAACACTAGTCGTAAAATGCAAATAAGCTTTACTACGCAATATATTCATAAAACTTAATGTGGCTGCATGTGAAACACCTCACAAACTAGTAAGTTAGTAACGGGAGTGTTAGAAAGTAAGGATGGTAAGGAAAAGTGAAGAATTATCAAAGGAAGTGTTTTTGTAGAATATTGACTAAAATAACCTTATACTTCATACGTGCACATGTTATTTTCTTGAATTTTTCATTAATGTAGTATGTGTACTTTTTTAGTTAATTCGCATTTTCAGATTCTGTGTAAAGTTAGGTTGTAATCTTCTACCAGTTATATCTTCGGTAAGTTGGTTTGTCAAACTCACTGGACTCCAAATAGGATTAGTTGAAAGATGTACATAAACTCACTGAAAAATTGTCATAAAATGCAAATAAACTACACGGTATTCATAAACTCTCTGTACATACTCTTGTTTATTGCCCTGCCAATAAACTTTACAAAACATATTCATAAAACTTGATACGGCTGTATGCGCAAACTAAGAATGAAGCAAGCATAGGCTTGTTATAATGCCTCATTTAACTACTAAAAAGTGTAAATACACTTTGGTTCCAGGAAGGGAGGTAAAGGAAGGGAGGGCAAGTGTTGGTGTGAAAAATAAACTTGTTTGGGAGAGAGAATAAAATGAGAGGAAGTGTTTTTGTTGAATTGACTAAAATAACCCTATACTTCCAGAAATATAGACGTATGTATATATTTCCCCTCTCCCTTTTCCCCATTCCCCTCGACCCCCCCTCTTTCCTTTCCCCTCTCCCTTTCCCCCCCCCCCCCCCCCCTCGACCCCCCCTCTTTCCTTTCCCCTCTCCCTTTTCCCCCTTCCCCTCGACTCCTGCCCCCCCTACCCCCCCCCTGGGGAGGTTTGGCGCCACACGGCGCCACCGAGGCAGCATAACGCCCCCCGGGCGGCTTAGGACGGCATGGAGGCAGCATGGCGCCCCACCGCCCTAAACCTAGCCTAGCCTAGCCCTAGCCTAGCCTAGCCCTAATCTATCTAAACCTAGCCTAGCCTAGCGCTAACCTAAACTAACCTACCTAAGCCTAATGGCCCCCAAAGGGGGAGCCGGGGCCGGCCCCAAAGGGTGGCCAGCCCAACCCAGCGGGATTAGTCCCGAAGGGTGAGCTACTGAGTCACTGTACTCTCGTATTTATAGAGACTCCCAAGGAATCGCTCGGACAACGGGATCGATGTGGGAAAAATGAAAAATGAAATCTGGATCGGTGTGGGATCGGTGTTTAACAAAAATGAAAAATGAATAATGAATACTTACTGCATCTTGTCTTCTCTTCTTCCCGTAAGCACAGCAACAGCTCCTCCCTCTCTGTCTGGCCCTGGCCGGCCTCCTCCACCAAGGCTGACGAGAAGAAATGTCATCCGCTAAACCGCCGCCGCCGGATCGATGAGCTGAGGTGGTGGTCCGCCGGTATCGCTTCTCCCGGCCAAGAAGCGTAATAGTAATGTCGATCTGACTGAGGTAGTTGAGGATGAGATAGCAGATGCTCTCTCCGGCATGTCCGTATAATTCTTCGGAAGGAAAGGAAACGAAGGAAATGATCTTGAGGTTCATTCTGTGGGAGTGGGAGTGGGGGTGGGGGTGTATGTAGGACTGTAGTAGTGGGAATAGGAGCGAGCAGCTAGTTTATTTCATTTTATTCAACTTCTAAATACTATCGTATAATGTAAATGAGATTTGAGCATTACAATTAATAATGAAAACTAAAAATACCGCATAAAAAATCGATTAGTAGTATTTTAGGAAATGTCAAAAAATTAAAATGCCGCCGTTAATAATTTCATTTTCTCCGCCCCTCAAATTAAAAGTCTAAACATTTATATTAGAATATGAAAAATAAAAACATTTTGTTCTTCAACCTATTAATGAAGAAACTTTTTTTAGTGACTAAAGACTATTGCTTTGTTGGGGTGTAGTGACTATGTGCACTTGGTTGGAAATTTCAAAAAATAAAAACCTCCCAGGGTTGGGACACTTGACCTTCAATCTGCCACTGCGGCTAGTTGCTTCTCCGGAAGGCTCGTCAATTCTTGTACCTTTTTACAAGTAAGATTTTTATCAAAGAGTTGTTAACTATTAATTAATTATATTATTCCTTCTCACAATTCATACATTCTAGTACAGTAAAACTATTATTATACGGACTAGTTCCCTATTATCATCTTCCAAATATACTAAGATTTTTAAGATGTATATCTAAGGCCCGATGTGTTTTTAATTTTTTCAAATCATTATACTTTGATATAATGCCCATTTAATAATCGGTATTAGCTGATGTACAGTAGTTTACCACCCCACGTAAAATATTTTACATGGTACAATGTAAAATATTTTAAAAAAAGGTGTCCTACAGTTTACATCAAATGATTGAAACAAACAGTGTAAAATGTTTACTTCCCCACACTTTGCATGCAAAATGTTTACTTTACACCTTACCAAACGGGCCCTTACTTCTTTATATAATAATTCATAATCTCTCAGTCCAAGATAGAATATGATTCTTTTATTTCCATGAGTTGCGTGGAAAGTACTTTGGCTTGAAATTTGCATATGCAGAGCATCTAATTGAACATCAGGGACGGAACTATGTTTATGTCTAAGGGGGCCTTTGCCCCTCCCAACATTCTTATTTTTTGAATTAATGGCTTGTAATATCTTTTTTTTGCCCCCCTCCCCTAAATCTGTATTTCCTCTAATAGTATAGTAATTCAAAAAATATGTTTATGTTTATAGTCTATACTTTGTACTACATTTATAATTTTTCAATACTTCATTAAAATATCGTATGTATAAGAACACTATATATTCTAGAAGTAGTCATTTTGGAAAATATTAATCTATAACAACACTATACTTTGAAGAGGTGATTATTACCTCATAAATATTACTTGGTACTCTGCATGTAAAAATATATTATTAATAACATATTATGGAGTAGTATTGGAGATCTCCGTCTTAAAGTATCTAATATAAAAGAGTTATAAGAAAAAATTGGGATAATAATTTAATAAACTTTAAGAAGAGTATATTATGTAATAGCATTTTGCCCCCCCCCCCCCCCCCCACACCCTCACATCCTGGCTCTGCCCCTGTTGAACACAGGTGCTGGTTATAAGGTTGGAGAACACTTGAGTCATACAACTCAAGTGGTGTATTTATATCTTTATACACAAATAATTGAAGCTTTTGTTCAACTGTAATGAGTCTCTATTTGCATTTCTTTTTAGGCAGAGCATTTAAGAATTACGTAGTCCGTGTGAATTCGCTAGTGGGGTATGTTCTTGACAAAGAAAGCGGGCTAAGAAAATGGAGTCAGAAATCCTTTAAAATCCATATACTTCTACGATATAGAATTCCACAAGATGGAGTCTATGGAATTTTATTAGAATCGGTAGAATCTATAGTCATTTAAAATCATTCAAAATCTAGACTGGGAACACCCCCTTTAGTATAGAGATTAGAGATAGGCCGTGTCAATGCGTGATCCCTCTTTTAGTTAGGGGTGGACTCGGGCCGGGCCAACCGGCCCGGAACCGGACCGGCCTGCTACTGTGCGGGCCCAGACCGGCCCGGTGAACCGGTTAGTGCCCGGTTCGGGCCACCCGGCCCGGTGAGAAAGCGGTCCGGGCCCGGGCCTGCTATATAGTGAACCGGCCCGGCCGGGCCCGGTCCGGGCCTCAACGGTCACTTTTTTTAAAAAAAAATAAATAAATTGGTAAAGGCTCTAATAGCCGTTGGGAGAGCTCCCAAACGGCTCGATAGCCATTGGGAGCATAGGAGGGGGGGTCTGGGGGGTGGGGTGGGGGTGGGGTATACAAAAAAACCTATTTATACTCCTATTTTCTATACATTTTTTACACCTCTACTTCTACAACTCTTCCTACTCTCTAATTCCCTATTCTCTCAATCTCTCATATTCAATCATCTTCATTCTTCATCTTCTCCAAATTCTTTCTACATATATATAATTTATATAGTTATTATATCTACTTATATATTAATTATCTACTTATAAATATATACTTATACACATTCATATTATAATTCTTTACACATTATATATACTATATATAGTTATACACATTCATATTTACTTGATATTTAGTTATTATCCATACTATTGTTATTTACTTATATTTCCATATTACATTTAGTTAATATATACTTATATATATATATATATATATTAAAGTATTAAGTATAAGTGTATTACTCATCTTATAGTAATATACTTATATATTATATACTATAAACATTATATTATATATTACTTATAATATATTTACACATTATATATACTATATATACTTATACACATTCATATTTATTTGATATTTAGTTTTTATCCATACTATTGTTGTTTACTTATATTTACATATTACATTTAGTTAATATATACTTATATATATATATATATATATATATATATTAAAGTATTAAGTATAAGTGTATTACTCATCTTATAGTAAATAATATACTTATATATTATATACTATAAACATTATATTATATATTACTTATAATATATTTACACATCATATATACTATATATACTTATACACATTCATATTTATTTATTAAAGTAGTTAATTGTTAGACTTGTCATTTATCTATTAAATTAGTTAATTGTTACATTTCTTTACATTTCTCTTTAAAGAAAAAAATAGTTACTTGTTACATATCATTTATCATTTAACATTAGTTAAACTAGTTACTTATTTAATTGCTACATTCCTCATTAAAGTAAAAAAAGTAGTAAGTTTTTACATTTGTCATATTAATATTAGTTAAAGTAGTTAATTGTTACATTTGTCATATTAATATTAGTTAATTGCTACATTGCTCATTAAAGTAAAAAAAAACTAGTTAATTTTTACATTTGTCATATTAATATTAGTTAAACTAGTTAATTGTTACATTTCTCATATTAATATTAGTTACTCATATTAATATTAGTTACTTGCTACATTTCTCATTTAAGTAAAAAAAGTAGTAAATTTTTACATTTGTCAACTAGATATTAGTTAAAGTAGTTAATTGTTACATTTGTCATATACTTATATTAATATTAGTTAAAGTATACATTTCTCATTAAGGTAAAACGAACTAGTAAATTTTTACATTTGTCATTTTAAAAACTAGTTAAAGTAGTTAATTGTTACATTTGTCATATTAATATTAGTTAATTGCTACATTGCTCATTAAAGTAAAAAAACTAGTTAATTTTTACATTTATCATATTAATATTAGTTAGACTAGTTAATAGTTACATTTCTCATATTAATATTAGTTACTTGCTACATTTCTCATTAAAGTTAAAAAAAACTAGTTAATTTTTACATTTGTCATATTAATATTAGTTAACCTCATATAAAATATTTGATATCATTTAATATTTGTTCAATTTTAAAGATGGAGCGTGGTAGACATTCTGTAGATGTGGGTAATCTCCAACGCAACCGCAAGAGGGAGATTGCGTCGACTCGTCCTACTTCACGCAAAGGCAAAGGTAAAGCGCGGGCCGAGTCTTCTTTTCAAAGTCGAGATGACTTTGAAACGGATTACCAACGGAGAGATGATATGATGATGTCCGACGAGCAACTACAAAACCTATTCTAACAAAATGATCCACGCTTTGCACAAGAACAACAATTCCCGACAACCATTGATGAAGAGGAGCTCGAGGATGACGATGCGGAGGAGGACGCGGGGGGCGACCGGACTCACGGCACCCCAGATGATGAGCAAGAGTTGGAGGACAAGGGCGGTTCAACCCAAACTGGTAAGAAATCTAAATCTCCTATTATTGAAAACAATTTTACAAAAAGGAAAGACAAAAATACCGAAAAAAGGTAAGCAAGTTGCAATCATTGCAACAAAGAGTATAGCTTGGGAACTTCTGGCAGATACGGGAGTCAGGGAACGTCCTCCTTCCCTGACGCGACAAACACAAGTGCCACGCCATGAGCTTCTTACCCATGGGGAGCATTATACTTCTTTATGTCCTGTGCATGCTCAGAACATCAGAAGTGGGGGACTTGTGTTGGGTTAATGGCCCAAACAGGGGCCGGCCCATTTACCCCCCATTTCGGACGAACGTCCAGGCAGGTTTCTGGGTGGGCTAAGTCAACAGGGGAATTGGCAAAGACGAACGTCGTAACCAAGACCTTGGCTTATCAGCCCACCCCGACGAACATCCGCACAAGTTGGCAGTAAATCAGGCCCACAGGCCACAAGGATGGCGACGAACGTCGCCGGATCAATCCCATAACCACGGGAGGCAACCCAGTCCACATGGCAAATCATCCAAGGACCAGGATACGAACGGCCTGATGCCCTTTGCGATATCACCAGGAGCAACTCACCTCCCCCATCTGGACGAACGTCCCCACCAATTAGGCGGGAAACCCAGATCCTGGCGGGAAGCGCATTTAATGCTGAAGATTTGGTGGTGGGAGCGCCAGCCATTCACAATCCTCCACGTCAGTATAGCCAACAGCCCATTGGTAGTATAAATAGCAGCATTTATTTCATTGTAAAGGGTTAACAACTTTCTATTCTTAGCACTCTAGCTTATAGCCTTCTTACTCGCAGCACTTCTACTGCCTGGTAAGACGAACGGCCGACGAGCCTTTAGCAAAAAGTATTGTATTGGGGATTTATTAACAGATTAATAATACCTAATCACTTACTTCCTACTTATTGTTTCTGAATCCATTTTAACTTGTTAGTTGGGCTAGTTATTCATACACACTCCACTCGAAACTCTTGGGCTTACGTGTTGAACCCGAGGGTTGAAGGAATAAACCTCAACACTGGCGCCGTCTGTGGGAACTGAACTAAAAGTTTCCAAAACTCTCCCAAAACAGCTACTAAATCTACCCACAGCAAGTGCGATGGCGAGAAACAATCAACAACGTGATCTCTCAGAGCAACTGTCTCGCGGACGAAGGAGCCGCGGGCAAACCACGGAGCGCTCTGAGACGCTAGGAACCACCGGGGGTGATGGTGGCCTCACCAACCTTATCCCCCATGAGGCCAGACGCGACCCTCGACTCATGAGGGAGCTGGCGAAAACCATGCGCCGGATGGCGGACAAACAGGAGGCTGATGAGGAGGTGTACTCAGCCAACACAATCTGGACACCCATCTCACCAATCCACCACATGCAATCTCTGGATGAGACAGCGGAATCTGCTGGGCACCGGGCGTCCGTCCACTCGAGGCTGGGCCGGAATCCGCCCTCCTGCGGAACCAGGGGGCTCACCAGTGTCAGTACCCCACACTATGGCTGGCGGGACGATCATCGGGGGCGCACGCCGGATGTTCCCTCAGAACGCTAGGACACGGCAGTCACCCCCGCTGCCAGCAATATTGGACGCCGCTTCCAGAGGCGGGGGTACCAATATTGCCCGAAGGCAACCCGAAGCGGTTGTACCTGAAGAGATGGCCAAAAATTGGGAAGGACCTTATAGGGTCTTCAGAAGATACAACCGGGACACGTTCGTCCTCCACACCTTGGAAGGAAATCATGTTGGGGTCTGGAACGTAGAACACCTGAAGAAGTTCTACCAGTAATTGGGGATAGATCATTTGTATCATTTTCCGGTTGAAAAACCATGTAACACTACCGATCGTCTTCCTTATATCAAAGATCCCTTTTTGTTCCGTACTTCCTACTAAGCGCTTAAAACCGCAGGACGCCAGAACGCGCTGCGAAGGGCCCTCGAAGGGCCATTGAGAAGATTTCCTCCCCCCCCCCCCAAAAAAAAAAAATAAAGGGAGAAGGGGAGACAAACTCCTACGAGAGAGGGAGTCTTGACGGGGTATGCCAGATCTTCCCACTACTCGTGAATGACGAACGTCTCCTGACATGGAGGCCGGTCAGAACGCGGGGGGGGGGGGGGGGGGGGTAGACGAACCAAGGGAACCTCGGCAAGATAAACCAGTTCCTCCCACTACCCGTGGATCGCGAACACCTTCTGCCAGAGCAGAAGGCCAGTAGGACCACGAGCGTGGGACGACGAAGAAGGGAACCCGCGATAGGGTAAACCAGTTCCTCCCTGCAATCGATGGATGACGAACGCCTTCTTCGAAGTAAGAAGGTCAGTAGGATCACGAACCAGGGACGAACGAAGAAAAGGGAACCCTGACAGGGTAAACCAGTTCCTCCCCCTTGATGGACGGATGACGAACGTCTTCTGCGAAATCAAAAGACTAGTAACTCACGACCGGGGACGAACAGAGAAAGGGAATTCCGACGGAATAAACTTGTTTCTTCCCATTGATGGGATGACGAACGTCTCCTGTGAGGTCAGAAGACTAGTAACTCACGAGACCTGGGAAGAACAAAGACCAAAAGACTAAAAAAAAAAGATGACAGACGAGCATGGAGCAAAGAATGATAATAATTTTATTTGTCGGTACTACTGATCGGGAAACTACAAGTGTGAAATACAATATAAGAATAGTAAAATAATACAAGCACTGGAAGACGAGTAGAGCTTCAGGCTAATCGACGTGCGGAGCCGGGACCTTGAAAGGAATTTGCTTGGCCTTCTCCCGGACATCAGCTTCTTCCTGCTCCTTGCGCTCCTTCAGCAGCTCAAGGGCCCCCTTATAAGCATCCACCATCAGTGAGTCGAAACCGGCCGCCACCAGATCAAAGGGAGCCCCAAAGTGACGTTCGAAGGCCGGGAGATTCTCCGCCACCAGGCCGATCATACCCTTGAGGTAGGTGTCATTGGCAAGATCATCAAGGAAGCGCTTTCCGGTGGGGGTGGCCTGGAGCAGTTTGATGCCATCTAGATAAGGATCGGGGCAAGTGGCAAGAAACTTCCCGACGAACTTCGGAAGAAATTTCCTGGCCATGGCCTGGATGGCACCAGTGTAAGCCTTGGACTTCTGGAATTCAATGGATCCAGACTCCTTGATCTTTGAGACGTCGGCCTCGTATATAGGAACGTGGTTATCCACGCCTTTCCGACGGATGACTACCCCGGCATGAGAAACAGCCCACATGCGGTTGCACAGATCCACCAGCTCGGCCTCCTGCTTCCTCAGGAGTTCCTTCTGAGAGGCATTCTCCTGGACAAGCTTATCGTAGGCATCAGCTTTCTCTTGGAGGGTCCCCACCTTGCCCTTAGCGTTTCTGAGCAAAGCATCGCACTCAGTTCGTACTAGGGCCATCTCCCGCCCTTGCTGCTCAAAAGCCATCCGAGCCCTGTGGAAGTAGAGCTCGGCCTTGTCTAGAGTGCTCTGGCCACACTCCAGAAGATCCTCGGGGGCCTCCTGTGCGGCGAAGTCTTGAGGAACCTTGAGATTGAGGCCACACCAGATAGAAGACGCGGTTTGGCCAAAGAGCATCATCGACTCTTTGCGGGGACCAACCCCGGAGAACTCAATGAGGCCAAGAGAGGACCTGTTGGTTTCCGGAGGTGATGAAGGACGAGCGTCATCAGACCCCCCAACGGTCTGTACGTCCTCATCCCGAAGGCGACGAACGTCAGAATTCCTTGACGGAGAAGGAGGGGGCTTGCTCCTCGAAGTATGCTTCCTCTTCAGGGGACTACCAGGCTCGCCATCAGAATCATCGGCCACAATGATGGCCTTATAAGCCGTACCATCAAGACGAGGCCTCTTCGATGCTCCAGCCTCCGAATTGTCTTCGGCCGGCGATCTGGTCAGCCGAGGCTCGATTTTGGGGACGAGCGGCTTCCCACCCTTATCCTGATTCCTGTCCTCACGACCAGGGACATCAGAGGTATTGTTGGAACGTCCCATGGAGGAAAATGGGAAAACTCCTGCAGAGAAGGAACCAAGACGTTCAGAACCGTAACAACAAAAGGGCGATAAAACAATACAAGTACAAACGGACGCACCTAGTCCGGCCCGGGCTTTGAAAGGCTCGGCCATCAGCAACCGAAGGTTCTGGATGCCAAGTCCAGTTATGCGCTTGGCATAACCAAGCTCCTCGTCCGTCATGGGCGGCGGAATAGATTTCACCGGATAGGCGTTCCACCTATCGGAGAACGACATCGGGGAGCCTACCCCGGCGAGAAAGAACCGCTCCTCCTAGCCGTCTGGATTCCCGACGTTATTGGAAAACAGGACCATGGAGGGACATGCAATCAGAGTTAAATACCCTGTACATCCGAAGGGGGACAACCGAAAGAAATAGTGCAACAAGTCTACAGTGGGGGTCACACCGACGCTGTGGCATCTAATTATAAACCCCGCGATGATCCTATAGGCGGCAGGGACAAGCTGTGCTGGTGTTATCTCAAGGCTCCTAAAAAGTTCCATATGGAAACTGTGCAAGGGGAAAAGAAGGCCACCCGCAACCGAGTCTAGGTGAACCACCACGAAACCGGGCAGGTGGCGCATTGGGTTGCGTAGGCGCCGGTCGTCGTAAATCCTCGGAGGGTAAAACCATTGGCTGATCAGGCGCCTATCAGCATTCGTCAAACATTGGCGTTGACGCCAAATGTAGGAGAAATTAAAGTGATGACGAGGGGGCCGAGGTGGCATTCCCCGTTCATAGAACTCCAGGTCATCACCAGAGGAGCACCCGTCGTCAAGCCTATCCCCGGCGGACGACGAGCTGTTTCGGGTCCTTGAATCAATAACTTGGGACTCCAACCTAAATGAAGACATGACGACGCTCGGTACCTACGGGTGTGGGAGCTCGAGGCAGTGCAGAAGAAGGCTAGAGAGAGAAAGCAATTGCACAGCGTAAGGACTGGAAATGAAGCAAGTGGTGAATCCGCGAGGTTTTGGGTACTTATAGACAGCACCGCAGGGCTGCAACAACCACAAGTAGACACGTGGCGCCCAAATACCGGTACATTCCGCGGCATTAAAGTCATCTCGATTATGGCACCTACCCTTTTTAAGAGGACCTCAGGCCCCTCTTGGAAGGTAAGGCGACGGACGTCCCACGGGGGAAAATGTATCGCCCTGGGGACACACCATACACCCCGGGGATGCAAGAGGAGGAGCGGTTTCCCCTACCTTGGAAGTCTCCACAAGCCGCTGAGGCATGTTCGTCTCCTGATACTTGGGAAAAAAACAAGCGGACTGGGCGGACGAACGTCCTAAGAAGATTTTAAACTTAGCATGGCAAGACACGGACTTGGGTAGGACGAATGGCTTCAACCAGCATGCACACGGGGACGTAAGGCGAAAATGTAAGGCAAGTACGATCGTCGCCGTGTCCTTGAGGATTAAGAGTGACATTAAGGATTATCTTTTCGCAAAATCAAGAAAGGAACTATGCAGAACGTCGGGTAAAGATCTCACATGCAACTACCCAAATAAAACAAATGACGAAGTGAAAAAACACGAGCATAAAGATAATTATGAGGCAAAAAGGGTGTGTATTCCTCAGCATTACTGGCTGGAATTTACAATGATACCAAAAGGATAGGAAAGATTACATCAGATGAAATTGGGAGAGACGGCCCGGGACCCCCCAGGGACGGCATCCTCTTCCTCTTCGGGCTCAGGCTCAGGGGTCGGGGGCTCCGGAACTTCGCCCCTGGCTTTGGCTTCCTCGCGACGAGCGTCCCGCTCCAGCTTGCCCAGAGCTCGGATCAGCTCGGGATCTGTAGTATGCTGGTCCAAGTTGAAGCCAGGACCATGCAGAGCAGTGAAGACAGGAAGCGTGGCCTTTACCCCCTCGTTATAGCCAATGACGAAGGAACTATCCCCAACGTCATATAGGAACTTGTCAGATAGGGGGGCACTCTCCAAGACCCGGACCCCGAACTTGAGGCGATCTTTCGGCGCCTGCTTCTGCAGCTCGGCTGAGAACACATCACCGAATGCGCCACCACAATACCTCTGGGCGGCAACCATGAAGGCCCCAGTATTCTCATACCCAGAGGTATCAACGAGCCACTCAGGGGCCTTGTCCTTCAGAGCTGGGAGAACTGGAACCAGCTTGAACCCGGCCTTCTCGAAGGCAGCAATACGCTCGGCTGACTCACGAGCTTCTTGCCGGGCGGCCTGCAACTCCTCGCCCTTGGCGGCCACATCTTTCTCTAGAAGACGGGCGGCCTCCCGAGCCTTCTTCAAGGCGGCGTCCGCTTTGTTTTTAGCCTGGAGGGCGTCAGCATCCCTCACAGCCTCACCCTGCAGCACGGAGAGCCCAACCTGCAAGCAGAGAACATAAGTTTAGGATTGCGAACCTCCAGAACTGTAATCAGCTACTCAACATGAGGCAGAGTCTTACCTGAAGAGCGGCGGCTAAAGCAGCGTTAGTAGCCTCCGAGGACGTCTGGGCCGGCATATCTACCCCGGCCAGAGAAGCATTTTCTTGCCAGACGTCATGGGCTGGACGTCCCAAGAGGAAAAAGGTTGCCTCCTGCTCTACGGGGGCCGAAGAGCCAGCCTCGCGGGCCCTCTTCGTCTTCTTCTCCTTCACTTTTTCTCCACCCGGAGGAAGGACCGTCTGCAGGGGCGCCACCACGTTGGGGACGCCAGAGTCAGCAAGGGGCACCTGGACGCCCTGAGCCATCACCGTGGCGATAAGGTGCTGCTCCGCTTCGACCGTACGTCGATCGGCCTGAGAGGCGGAGGAATTTGAGTCAGCGGCCTGGATGGCCTTGGCCTTAGTCAGAGCGGCGTCGGCGGCCGCACCCTTGTCTTTCCTAGTCTTCATTAGCTTGGTGTGATTCATCTGAGTGTCGGTTGGAGGAAGACCTGAAACGATAAAACACAAGGAGTTAGCACCGGGCGGCGTGGCTCTTAAAGTACTCACCTCGGAGAACAGGACCGCCCGGATCCCAGGGACGAACGTAAGGGAAAGGGGAGTCCAGAGATTCAGGCGGTACCTATCCCCGCTTCGGCGAGCTTCTCGAAAGTAGTAAGGTCCTCCACATCTTGTATTCCGACATCTAACAACTTCTTGGCTTCCGACTCCAGCTCGTCGGACAATTTGGGAGAACCGATCTTCGGAGGATACCCATTCCAGCGGATCGGCAGACGAGCGTCCGCATAGCGAACAAAGAAATATTTGTTTTTCCATTCGTGGATGGACGTCGGCACTCCCTCGAAGAGCCTCCGTTTCGGACGAGCGGCGACGCTCAGATATCCATCTAAGTTCTGGGGAGTGATCCGAAAGAAGAAATCGAACAATTCCAGGGTTGCGGTGACACCAACGCCCTTACAACGGACAAGGAACGAGGAGATAAAGCGGTAGGAGTTGGGCATGAACTGCGCTGGGGCCACTTGGAAGCAGTTAAAAAATTCAATGTAAAAGGGATGGAGTGGGAATCACAGTCCGGCCCTGATGGAATCAAAATGCACCATAACCATCCCCGGACGTCTCCTCATCACATGGGTCGCGCCTCGGAGGCTGTAGCTATGCGGGTCAGGGAAGTAGATCCGGAGCACTTCAAGGGTCGGGTCCGAGAAGAATTGCTCATGACCAATCGCATTCTTTATTGGACAAAGATGACGCTCCACATCAACCGTGAGACCTAGATCGAACACCTCTACGTCGAAACCATCAACGGCCTCGACGCCCGAGTCGTAGTCGGCTGGATGATCGTCATCAGCGGCCGCATCTTCCACGGCCATCTGGATTGCTCCTCTTTAGGGGGGCATCATTTCCACCTCCCCCGGGGGCCGCGTCACCCTGGATTGCGTCTGCCGAGGAGGTGCTCGCGGAGGTAGAGCTTTCGGGAGCATTATCTTGCACAATCATTCCCGCGACGGACGGAAGGCCGGAGCGGCCGGAGGTACTGGCACCCTCAGAGGAACGAGAACTGGACTCAGAGCCAGAGGAGGAGCCGAAAGAGGAACCCGAACCAGAACTCGAGGAGATTTCCATAGAAGCCATGGGGAAGATCGAAAAAAGATTTACAAAAGGGGAAAGAAAGCCTTAAATACCTTGAGACGGAGGCAAACTAGGGACCTCGAGGACGAACTGAGCACAGAGCAGCAGAGATCCTAGAGCGAGAAAGCAGGAGTTGGAAACCCTAAGCCTAAGAGAAATCCTGGTATTTATAGAAGAGGCACCGATTCGGAAGCCAATAGAAAGACACCGCGTGTCGAGGATCGTACCCAAGGGCACGCGCTGCGCGTGAAATGGGAATGTAATGATGATCTCACCTTGGAAAATGTACCGGTTATGCGGAAGTCGTCACCTCGATTCCTGAACCGCCACAAAATGAGACACGTCGCGGGGAGGAACGTCCTCCTTCCCTAACGCGACAAACACAAGTGCCACGCCATGAGCTTCTTACCCATGGGGAGCATTATACTTCTTTATGTCTTGTGCATGCTCAGAACATCAAAAGTGGGGGACTTGTGTTGGGTTAATGGACCAAACAGGGGCCAGCCCATTTACCCCCCATTTCAGACGAACGTCCAGGCAGGTTTCTGGGTGGGCTAAGTCAACAGGGGAATTGGCAAAGACGAACGTCGTAACAGAGACCTTGGCTTATCAGCCCATCCCGACGAACATCCGCACAAGTTGGCAGTAAATCAGGCCCACAGGCCACAAGGATGACGATGAACGTCGCCGGATCAAGCCCATAACCACTGGAGGCAACCCAGTCCACATGGCAAATCATCCAAGGGCCAGGATACGAACGGCCCGATGCCCTTTGCGATATCACCAGGAGCAACTCACCTCCCTCAGCTGGACGAACCCAGATCCTGGCAGGAAGCGCATTTAATGCTGAAGATTTGGTGGTTGGAGCACCAGCCATTCACAATCCTCCACGTCAGTATAGCCAACTGCCCATTGGTAGTATAAATAGCAGCATTTATTTCATTGTAAAGGGTTAGCAACTTTCTATTCTTAGCACTCTAGCTTATAGCCTTCTTACTCGCAGCACTTCTACTACCTGGTAAGACGAACGGTCGACGAGCCTTTAGCAAAAAGTATTGTATTGGGGAGTTATTAACAGATTAATAATACCTAATCACTTACTCGCTACTTATTGTTTCTTAATCCATCTCACTTGTTAGTTGGCCTAGTTATTCATACACACTCCACTCGAAACTCTTGGGCTTATGTGTTGGACCCGAGGGTTGAAGGAATAAACCTCAACAATTTATATTCTCATTGAGCGTATTTTAATTGAGTATAATTTGCGTGATAAGGTGTTTGCTAAAGGTTTTGATAATGCTAGTAAGTAATAATACTGCTGCTATACCTAGATTGCGTGAATTGTGTAGTGCTTCTACATTGATGGGTAGGTTTTTTCATCAACGTTGTGTATGTCATATTTTAAATTTGTGTGTACATGATGGGTTAGCGGCATTAGGAGATGCTTTGGAGATAGTGAAGGGGGGAATTAAAATGATTTGGGCTAGCACTCCACTAAAAATGCAATGACGGCAATATTTGAAGGATAGACGTGTCAATTATTGTGCTTTTCCTAAAGATTTGTCTATTCATTGGAATAGTACTTATAACTTAATTCAAGTACTTATTAGATATAAAAATCATTTTCCTGCTTTTTTAAGACAAACTTGTAACTACATTATAAACCCGGCTGACATCGACACTTGTGAAAAATTGTTAATGATTTGGTATGTTTTAATAACGCAACTCAAACTTTTAGTCATGTTTATAATCCTACCGCAAACGAATTTTTTGTTGAAGCTGTTAATCTCGCCGGCGCATTTTTATAATTTTCTGATGCCGCTTACGTTAGTTATTTTTGTGATTTCATGAAACAAAAGTTTTTAAAATATTATTCACATATTCCGCATATATATGGTATTGCATTTGTTCTTGATCTTTGTTATAAACTTGCCTCGTTGGCAAGTTGTATAGATTACTATTATGCTTCTTGTTTTCCAACTCAAGAGTTCGATGATAATCCCATCGACCCTAAACAAGAATACAACGAGGTTAGTAATTTATTTCATCAATTGTATAATGAATTTCATACACAGTATGGTAATGCACCCCCTCCCCCGACACGAACATCTTCTTCATCTAAAGGAATATCACTTTTAAAATCTGCATTTGGTTCTCTTTTGAAAAAAGTAGAGCAACTCCCGCTACTGAACAAAGCTCAGTTAACGAGCTTTCTTTGTATCTAACATTGGATGTTGATTATGAAGTTGGGGATGACTTTGACGTTCTTAAGTGATGGAAGGAAAATGAAAGAACGTTCCCGATTATAGAACGAGGTTGAGCCCGAGCTCTCTTGAGACGCTAGTTTGTTTCCACGATTGGTTGAAGGCCCAACGAAGAACTCAAGAAATGACCATCGCTCCCACCCGCCACTTTATGGAGGAAACAACCTTCGAAGGCGGAGATTCCGATTGATTTTTTATCACAAAATGTATTACATTTTTTAATTTCATCCTAATTCTCAATTGTACTTCTTATTTGAAATAAATATACTTGAATTATATTATATTATTGTGTACATCAATTCAATAATTCTCAAAAAAAAATATTCAATAATCAATTCAATAAAATTAATTTGTAAACTTGTACTTCATATTAAAAATAAATATGCGTTTATTTTTTCATATGTAACACTTCTCAAATTAATTAATTGGTTACAAACTTATAACTTACAACTTCAAATTATTTTTGTAAAATCTAAAGGCTGTTTTTAAATTAAAATATGTAATATTAATATGTAAATTAATTAATTGGTTACAAACTTACAAGTTACCACTTCAATATGTAATTTGTTTAAATACTTATACACTTATTTTGTAACATTTGTAAATTATAAATCAAACTACTTTTCTAAGTAAAAATAGTTTTACTTACTTAATTCATTAAATTAATTAACTTATTTTACAAAATGTATAATTTTCAAAAAAAAAAAAATTACAACATAGCTCCCAAACGGCTATATAGCCATTGGGGCTTAGGGTGGGGGGCAGGGGGGTCCTGAGGGTGGTGGTGTGGGGGTGGGGTTCAAAAAAATCTATAAATACATCTACTTTCTACCATTTTTCTACACCTCTTCTCCAACTCTTCTCCATCTTCATCTTCTCTTATTATCCTACATTTCTATTTATACATCTACCATTTTAAAGATGGAAAGTAATTCTTCTTTTATGCAAAACAATTTTGATAAGTGGAAGAATCTGAAGACCGGACTGTGGTGGGCAACTTGCAAGTGGTGCAAAAAAGAGTGTTGCTTGGGGCGTTCACAAGGAGTCGGGATGCCAATAAAACATATGAAGTCATGTGACAAAGGCAAAACAACAACCAACGGTGGCGGAAATCCCAATTGATATTTATTAGAAAATGTAATTCATGTTGTTATTTTTTTCTCAATTCTCAAATGTACTTCCTATTTCAAATAAATGCACTTGAATTTTGTTTTTAATAAGAATTATTATAATAATATAATATATAATTTTAAAAATAAAAAATAAAAGGCCGGCCCGGCGGGCGGCCCGGCCCGTGAACCGGGCGGGTGACCCGGCTCGAACCGGATCCGGGGTTACCCGGGCCGGTTCCGGGCCTGCCCTTCCTTGAACCGAGGCCCGGCCGGTTCAAGGCCCGAACCGAGTCCATCCCTACTTTTAGTGTAAATGACCAACAAAATATATATAGAATAAGTTTACATACCCATGCTTGCTATTGAATGTTTTCATATGGGCATAGAAACCGTATATAGAAAGAGTTTAGTTCGGCAGTAATGGAAGACCATACGTCGATGAACTCATGAGTAATTGAGAAGGGGAACTATGAAGTTGATGACGTCGCCCACTAGGAAGAGTACTCCACAGTCAGAAACTGTTGGATCAACAAGGCA